AACGAGAAACGAGTCGGTTCTCGCCCATTACGAGTTCTTTCTTCCTTTTTTCGTAGTCGGACGAGAGCCATGTGGGATTAGCCTACCAACAATTACTTGGCTTACTCAAGAATTACCAACAACGAACGGCGAGTCTCCCCCTTGAGTCATGTCAGTAGCCGTGGAGTTTGTGGATCGTGACGCGGATAACCTCACCGGTTACCTTAACCTTTGCCGTGGGAGACCTCATTAATAATTTGCAATGCAATAAGGAGTAACACACACAGAGAGTGTTTCCTTTGTGATTTCTGTTTGAGGTTTTCAAACACTATTACTATCTAACTATAGAAATTGTGGGAAACTAAAATTTTTTTTATTTTTCTTAGTACTTGTTATGAATTGGTTGAATGAAAGACTGTTATAAAATGGGAATTTCAGAAATTGGAAATTATAGTAGTTCATAAATCATTGATAACCTATTTTCGATTGGAATGCTATAAAATTATTGCCATGTTTCCAATAAATATATTATCGTGAAATTACAACTTAACAATAAATTAATCATGACAAGATCAATATACGACAACCTACTGTTGCCACAATTCCCTGTTTATCGTTCAATCGGAACAGAATTACGTTGTGTATTAGTACTCGGAATAAAGGAAAACGTAATTGATTAATTATTGCTAATAACACCGGTTACACAGCTCGTGTTGAGGTAAATTAAATTCTATTAACAGCGATCCAATTATGTGATTAAATTCAATTAATAAATTAAATATACTTATTCACTGATTTCAGAGTTTAAAACGTTTACAAGTATGTATATCTAAGTATAGAATTCATTTAACGCATCCTGTAAAAACGGTGTACCAGAAATAGTTTAGTAGTGATCGAATTTCCTGGAAATTAAATTGCTAATTTACGTACTGCACAAAGCTTGACTTGAAAGCTTTCCATTTTATGGGAGTGGTGCTTCAAAAGCCAATTAAGCGGGACGTTGCATATTTATTGTTAAGTTGGAAGCGAAACAAAAGTGCAAAAATTTAAATCAGGTTATCTAGAGTAACCGGGACGTGATCACTAGGTACTATAAAAGAACGAAATTAAATTCGAGGAAATTACATTTCAAAACTTTACCAACCAATTTAATTCGGAGGAGTGTTTTCAAATTGAAGCGCAAAAAAGAAGGGTTGCTAGAACTAACACTAGACGGAGAACTAGAAACATTCAGATTTAGCCGCACGTCTTTCAAGACGGCTAAATCCGAATGATTCTAGTTTTAGGTCTTGTGTTAGTACTTGTTAGTGATGGAAGGGATAGTGATTTTGTGAAAAGCCGGATACCGGATATTCGGCATCCCCCTCAGCCATATCTATCCGGCCATTATGGTTATAATTTCTGGTACATTTCTGAAGTGATACCCTACATTGCCACATTATTGCGATATTTGAATAAAAATGAAATTAATAAGAAAGCTGATAAGATATGTCAACTTATTTGGATCCAAGATACAAAATGAACTTTTTTGATGCTTATTTAACTCATGAAGCAACTGTAAAAAGAGGATACTTTAATTAATAATTGGCGATATTTGCACAAGGATCCAAGGACTGCAACATCGAAAATTTTATCAAAATTTCAAATATTGTTTTCTCAAAAACTAAAAGCCATATTTCAAAACGGGTTGGTTCATTGGAAAGAAGACACTTTTATTAACACTTTGGGAGATTTTCATACTCATATTCTAAGAACTGGATTTTATACGAATTTTTAAAACCTAATCGGCGAAAATTGCAAAATTGTCGATAATTTCAAAAATGTATTTCTCAAAAACTAAAAGCGATGTTTCAAAACGGCTTGTTACATTAAAAAGAGGTTACTTTAATCAATAATTGGTGATATTTCCACAAGGATACTTTAAGAAATTAATTTTATAGCGAAATTTGAAAATTATCGATGAAAATTGCAACATCGAAAATTTTATCGAAACTTCAAATATTGTTTTCTCAAAAATTAAAAATTATTTTTCAAAACGTGTTTATTCATTAGAAAGAGCACACTGTTATTAACACTTTGGAAAATTTTCAAATTCATATTCCAAGAAATGGATTTTATACGAATTTTTAAAACTTAATCGGCGAGAATTGCAAAATTCGAAAAAAATTTCGATAATTTCAAAAATGTATTTCTCAAAAACTAAAAGCGATTTTTCAAAACGGCTTGTTGCATTAAAAAGGGGATACTTTAATTAATAATTGGCGATATTTCCACAAAGATCCTTCAAGAAATTAATTTTATAGCGAATTTTGAAAATTATCGATGAAAATTGCAACATCGAAAATTTTATCAAAACTTCAAATATTGTTTTCTCAAAAACTAAAAGTTATTTTTCAAAACGGGTTGGTTCATTGGAAAGAGGACACTTTTATTAACACTTTGGGAAATTTTCATACTCATATTCCAAGAAATGGATTTTATACGAATTTTTAAAACTTAATCGGCGAAAATTGCAAAATTCGAAAAAATTGTCGATCATTTCAAAAATTTATTTCTCAAGAACTAAAAGTGATTTTTCAAAACGGCTTTTTGCATTAAAAAGAGGATACTTTAATTAATAATTGGTGATATTTCCACAAGGATCCTTCAAGAAATTAATTTTATAGCGAATTTTGAAAATTATCGATGAAAATTGCAACATCGAAAATTTTATCAAAACTTCAAGTATGGTTTTCTCAAAAACTAAAGGTTATTTTTCAAAACGTGTTTGTTCATTGGAAAGAAGACACTTTTATTAACAGTTTGGGAGATTTTCATACTCATATTCCAAGAACTGGATTTTATACGAATTTTTAAAACTTAATCGGCGTAAATTGCAAAATTTAAAAAATGTCGATTACTTCAAAGTTTATTTCACAAGAACAAAAGTGATTTTTCAAAACGGCTTGTTACATTAAAAGGAGGATACTTTAATTAATAATTGGTGATATTTCCACAAGGATCCTCTAAGAAATGAATTTTATAGCGAATTTTGAAAATTATCGATGAAAATTGCAACATCGAAAATTTTATCAAAACTTCAAATATTGTTTTCTCAAAAACTAAAGGTTATTTTTCAAAACGTGTTGGTTCATTGGAAAGAGGACACTGTCATTAACACTTTGCAAAATTTTCAAACTCATATTGCAACAACTGGATTTTATACGAATTTTTAAAACTTCATTGGCGAAAATTGCAAAATTCGAAAAAATTTTCGATCATTTCAAAAATTTATTTCTCAAAAGCTAAAAACGATTTTTCAAAACGGCTTGTTACATTAAAAAGAGGATACTTAACCTACTTATAATTAACCGTTTTATATTTAAAAAAATCAGTTTCTTACAATTTTTCATGAGGTAAGGTGGAGCGTAAAGAATAAAAATGTACACAGACGTTTGAAAAAATAATTGTGTTATGAGATATGAGATGGTGCAAAAATACACCACTGGTAAGATAGCCGAACAACAACACAAAGATATTTCGATTACCATTTATTAACTAAGTAATAAATTACTCACTCATAAATAAATAATAATAGTAATACAACATAATACTAACAAATACCAAATTTAGTATGAAGTTTAATTTAAGTTCATACATAATGGGCACCTGTATAAAATATTTATACTAAAATTGGTGCAAAAACGCACCAATGGGATGAACAGTTTAATCATTTATCGTGATACTTCGCAAAGCACTCTTCATTTAAATGAACACACTATGACACACTATGTCCATAAACGACTATTTCTAGGGAAGTCACCGAATAAATGCGTCTAAACTGGTTTCTGATAATACGAAAGATAATGTAATCCTTATATCTCATCATACATCCCAATGGTGTGTTTTTGCACCATGAATGTTTCAAGACGTATTTTCGGAATTCATATTTTTATTTCGCGTTTTAAGATATATATGAGGAAAATATGCACTAAAACCTTGCAAATGTCAAAATTTTAAAGAATTTTATGCACTAAAAATAGTTTTATTTCTATTGTATATTTTGAACAGAAATTTTCAATAGATTGCAAGAATTATGAAATATTTTGATATGTATAGCCTAACAACCTTATAGTGTTATCGTACATACGACAACCTAAGCAACCTAAGGAAGTATGTGGCTGTAAAATAATTTTAAAAACGCGTATTCACACCAGTGGGACTAAATGGGTTAATAATCGAAAGTGATAACAGCGACAGTTTTATAAAGATTTTATATATCGTATTGAGATGGTTACAATGAGGCTAATGCAAAACCTGATATAAATAAAGTTGTATTCAATGAAAAAAGTTCTATTGGGGTTGAACTTGATTATTATCTGCATTGTCCAACACCTAAAAAAGATAGTAATTCATAACTAACTATCCGGTATCCGGCCGGTTTAAAGAAATGATCGGATAGGCCGGATACCGGATAGTTGCCGGATATCCATTCCACCACTAGTTCTTGTGATAGCGCTAGTGTAAGACTAGAACTAACACTACTAGACCTAGAACTAGAAAAGTTCGGGTTTAGCCGTACGTTTGAAGAATTATATTGACATGTTGCATATAGCTTTGAAAACTTACACTGTGTAAACGTGACTTTTCTCCGAATTAAAAAATAGATTATAGTACATTATGCATCAAAAACTTGGTCAATTAAAACATTCGATAATGTATAAATATAAAAAACGTATTAAAATCGAGCATATATATTATGTACTTACTTATTTCTTAACACATCGGTTATGACATTCCATTTTAGCTTATAATTTATAGACTACCTACTTAATGCAATACTTTTGTGTCTTAAGATCATAACGCAAGAACACGCACGAAATGGAACATCAATCTTAGACCGGTTCTAATCACATCACGTCAACGTGTACATTAATGTAAATTGCATGTCTAACGCAATAATTGCTATTACGATTTTATTATACGTTTGAAATGTAATTACATTTCTGTTGAATTTTGATGGTTATTTTTTTTATTTCTAGAAACACACAAGAAAGATGGAGTGTGGTGTTACAGGAGCGTATACGAATGGAACAACGACGCCGAGCAGCGGCATTTTGGCTGATGTTAGATCGGAAAGGTCTCCATCGAAGGCCGGACTTCACGTAAACTTCAAAGAAAAGGGAGAAATCAAGGAACGCAGGGAGAAGTTTTTGACCGCCAAATATGGAAACCATCAGATGAGTCTAATCAGAAAACGGCTGGCCGTTGAAATGTGGCTCTATGAGGAACTCAAGAAATTGTATGAATCATCAGCGGTAAGAATTATTTAAATTCATGTTATTAAAATAAATTTTACAAATTTTGAACTTGAAAAAGTTTGAAACCCGTTGTTTTAGCCGTTATCATATTTCTGTAAAGAACCATTTCCGTCCTCGACAGTTATTTTTAACAGCCCAAATGTCCCCATAACTCAACTTTAGTACCTCGGTTATCTAACATTAACTTTGGAAAATGTCAAGATGTTCGCCTTTCAAGAATCAAAACTAAAAATATCGTTTTTAAAACAACAAAAAGGAGAACATTAATTTAAACCGTTTTTTGTGTTTTTTCTTTGATGTATTGATAAAAGCTCTAGTTTACATAATATTAGGTTGAAGGTCGAAGGATAATTGTTGGGTTGTTGGTTGTTGACCTCTTGGTCACGATGCTCAACGAGAACATACACGGCCGGTGGCCTATCTAATTATCTATTTACTGACGCGGGACCTCGTAACGTAGAAAGAACCCCCTTCACATCAGCAGGAATAATATACAAGAAGACACTCTTTCTCTGTTTGAGACTTCGGCGGAGGGATCTCTCGCAGCTGCGCTCGTAAAAGACATTAAACCGACTTGACGAGCGATTATTACTTTACGGAATAAAAGACCGGCAGGAGGTCATTTAGTAATGGTTACAGGTCATTTGTCTTTGTGCTTTCCACACCTACTAAATCCACGATATAGTTAGGATGAAATAAAATTTGAACTTTTTATTAATATATATTTTTATCTCACGCTTGATTATTTCTGCAGAAAAGGTTTATTAGAAAATGTTATAAAGCAAAAATTAACATAATTACGAAACCGTAAGCGAAAGCGTTACCTCTGTTGTAATGATCCAGGGAAATCTTTATTTTTAACTTCCCAAGAAGTATAGATGTAAATAAAAGTTAATCTTTCGATTAAAATTAAGCAATAAGTTCTATTTTTTTAATGGAATTTAAATTGTGTATTATAATTTCTATAACACATGCATTAAACGACATCTCGTTCGTTGTAGTCTAGCTGCTAGTAAACGTGTCGGCTAATCGACGGATTTGTTGGCTATTTGCATAAATTATAGACCATCAATCCACAATTAGTATGCCTAGTGCAACAAAAATACTTGTTTTATCGTCTGAATGTATTAATGATTCTGTATAATTTAATCGTTAATATGTAATGAAATGTTATCTCTTTCAAATAGTTTTTTTATTTGTAAAACATAGTTCATTATACTCATAGATATAATGTTACATGATAATAACAGTTACATTCGATGATAAAAAAATATTTCAAAGCTGTGGTACTTCGTAGTAAATGCGATAAAACCTGAAAAGATTTTCGTAAATTTTTCCCTTATAGTAGTGATGGAACGGATAATGATTTTGCGAAAAGCCGGATCCCGGATATTCGACATATCTATCCGGCCATTATGGTTATAATTTCTGGTACATTTCTGAAGTGATACCCTACATTGCCACATTATTGCTATATTTGAAAGCATTAAAAAGATTATACTTTAATTAGTAACACTGCACAACAGTATTTCTGATGATTGGGTTATGTTACATAATATTAGTCCAATTTTTGAAGACAATTTCAATTCTGTGATTGAAATTTCTGTATCAGCTCTAGTTAGAAAATATCACACGGGTGTTGTTTTATAATAAAACACTATAAATTTAAAGATAATTCTAATTTATTTAATTCTTATAATGAAAAAAACTTTCTCTTATATGATTTTCTTCCTAAAGCTGAAGGCAGAGAGCTATTCTGAAAGCTTCAACAATAGTCAGCCAATAGCCGCCCTGTTCTTCAGGTAGGTCCCCAAGATTGGCGGGAAAATAGTCCAAGTGGTTGTGAAGAAAATGTAACTTGAAAATTCAGAACTTTTTTTATTTCCCAAAAGCTTTTAACAAGCTAAACAAACACATTCCATGCCGTTTTCTCAATCTCTGTCATAGTGTCTGTAAAATTTGAGTCTTTTATTAATGATCTTATTTGTAGCCCGTCAAAAATTCCCGCCTTTATCTTTTTTGCACTCAGTTAAAAGAAAGTTGACCATTTTTAAATCAACACATATGAGCCAATTGTGTTTCACATATTTCATTTTGTCTAAAACCAGAGCAATAGTTGTATATTCTTCTTTTACATTTGTGGAATGTGCAATAGGCAACGACCCTAATTTATTCCCATTGTGTAAGAGAACTCATTTTAGACTACGTTTTTATGAGTCTATGAATAGACACCACTCACTAGAAACGTAATTTTGAAGTCACATTGCAGTCATTAATCTTTACAAAATACATCATTTGCTTCAGCAAAATATTTGAGGAGATTTTGTTCTCCGGTGCGGTAATAAAAAAATTTCGTTTCTTTTGTTACTAAATTTCTTTGTTTTAGCCTAGAAGCCAAAATTGGCCATATTCCACAAGGACCCTTCAAGAAATGAATTTTATAGCAAATTTTGAAAGTTATCGATGAAAATTGCAACATCGAAAATATTATCAAAACTTCAAATATTATTTTCTCAAAAATTAAAAGGTATTTTTCAAAACGGGTTGGTTCAATGGAAAGAGGACACTTTTATAAACACTTTGGGAAATTTTCAAGCTCATATTCCAAGAAATGGATTCCATACGAATTTTTAAAACTTAACCAGCGAAAATTGCAATATTCGAAAAAATTTTCGATCATTTCAAAAATTTATTTCTCAAGAACTAAAAGTGATTTTTCAAAACGGCTTGTTGCATTAAAAAGAGGATACTTTAATTAATAATTGGTGATATTTCCAGAAAGATCCTTCAAGAAATTAATTTTATAGTGAATTTTGAATATTATCGATGAAAATTGCAACATCGAAAATTTTATCAAAACTTCAAATATTGTTTTCTCAAAAACTAAAAGTTATTTTTCAAAACGGGTTGGTTCATTGGAAAGAGGACACTTTTATTAACACTTTGGGAAATTTTCATACTCATATTCCAAGAAATCGATTTTATACGAATTTTTAAAACTTAATCGGCGAAAATCGGCAAAATTCGAAAAAATTGTCGATCATTTCAAAAATTTATTTCTCAAGAACTATAAGTGATTTTTTAAAACGGCTTGTTGCATTAAAAAGGGGATACTTTAATTAATAATCGAAGGTGATAATAGCGGCAGTTCTGTTAGTAATGAATGTGATGATGAATTATAAGCGAAGAGAAGATAACTAGACGAAACTACAGCAAGAGATTTTATATATCGTATTGGGATTGTTACAATGAGGTTACTATAGAGAAACCTGATATATTTAAAATACAAAGTTGTATTCAATGAAAAAATTCCTATTGGTGTTGAACTTGATTATTATCTGCAGTGTTCAACACCTAAAAGTGATACTAATTCCTGTGAAGCCGAATATTTGGTAACTATCTGGTATCAGGCCGGATTTTAAAAAATGGCCTTATAGGTCGGATACCGGATAGTTGCCGGATATCCGTTACACCATTAACAATAACTGTTACATTCGATGATAAAAAAAAATATTTCAAAGCCATGGTACTTCGTAGTAAATGCGATAAAAGTTTTTGGGAAAAGTACCTCTTTAATCTCCTTGCCACAAATTCCATAAGATTTTTTGTTATACCTGGAAAGATTTTCGTAAATTTTTCCCTTATAGCATTTTTAGATCCTCTTTGCTTCAAATGTGCTCAAAAGGCTTTATCGAACCTCTCTGTCAAAATGCTCCCACAGATGTTTCATTGGTTTAAGAAATGGAGACTGCGGTGAATAATCTAAAACTTTAGGGTTGGATATAGCAGTCACTCCTTTACAATTATGGCAGTATGTTTTGCATTGTTGTCCTCTCGAAAATGCATCTTTCTGATAGCTCATTTTGTTCTAACTTTAGACAAAACTGCTTTAATTATATTAATTCTAAATTAACCTATTTTACATCAAAAGCAAACTTACTCTGGATATAGAACATTTGGAAATTTGTCCAATCATTTGCAAAACATAATTTTCTGATTATCTGTAAGTGGAATGAAATAAATAAACAGTTTCCAAAAATTTTTATTTGAAAATTATAAACATAAACTTCAAACAGCATCAACTCTTGCTAAAAAGCAAAGGGCAATATTATTAGACATAAATATTTTTAACATTATAACTTAATATAAATCTGATGACGAATTGTGAGATCAAGAAACACAAGAAAAAAGGGCAAAAATTGGCACAAATTCACACCTCAGAAATGCGTGATTTAAGTGATATACCGCTTGTATGGAGACATAAAATGTCATCCTATGGTTGTTTCTTGTACAAATAGAACATCTACTACTTCTGCGTCGCTTAAACTCAGGTTTGTAAAATTTTGACGTCCGAATTGCGCGCAGTTCTCGGCCCAAATTAGGGTTCTGTATTCGCTGGTTTCGGAATTTGAGTACATTCCTACTCTAAACCAAGATCTTACAGAAATATATGCCATTTTAAGTTGACATTTTGCGTTCTGTCTTTTTATATAACTTGAGCATATACTCCCGCGGCATAAGAAAAACAAAGTTACAGGCTAACGATGGCTGTTTCTTGCTACGCTGTATTAACTTATAATTCGTTCAAGATTATTTCAGGCAGTTTCTTCTTGCCGGATTCTGCTAGTATGGTATCATCATGATGTAAAGTAGAGAATATGACGTAATGTTTTCTTTGATACCAAACGTTGAAGTGCGAACGTCTCGATTTCGTATGTTGTACGTATTTGCTGCTATTCTTCCTCATTGTTACAAGTGGTGTGAGCTAACGTTTTTTAAGTAGGTTGGTGTTTAGAGTACACGTCAGATTCAGTACAAGCTCCCGCTAATTGGCACTAAATCGTTAACCTCTTTGCGCTGCGTTAAATTTTCTACATTATTAGATCGCACCCACATTGAACTTGAATATCTATGGTAATTCTAAAGCGAACTATTTTATTGGATTAACCTTGGTGATTTTGAATAACTTTTTGCTGATCGCACGGTCTCGCACCGGC